CTGACTGCTTTTATTCGATTTAATATCCTCACTCAAATACATTTGTTCATTTAACCTCTGGTCCATATCCTCCCCTTCATTCCCTAATTTGGGCTCCCCTCTAATTTGATCTACCAGCATCCAGTCCACTAACCTAGTATCAGTTGTTCCCTCCAAAATAGAAAAATCTCTATAATTATCTTCTTCTTCCACGTTAACACGTTTTTGATCATTTAAAAACCTCCTAGCAGTAACTTCGACTCCCTCCACGTTTTCAACCTCTTCATTAATTATCTTCTGCACATTCCCACAATCAACATCACTTTTTGTCAGCCCCATAATTGCTTCTTCTCCAATGTTCCTTTCCTCCACGTCCTCACTCGACAAACAACCGCCTCCTCATAAATTTTCCATACATCGTAATTGAAGATCGTCTTCCTCAAGCCACCTTTCTGTAGTATTTTCCTCTGAAGTAGTCCTACTTTTTCTGGCCGAAGATAGAGAGTCATCGACCAACTCAAACTCTTTTTGATCTCTCTTATGAACCATTGTTACACTGCTACCAATAATCTGTTCTAGAATTCTTACAGTAAATAAATTTCGACCCACTTCCAAATCGAGCACATCATCAATGGACTCTTTCCTATCTGTTGCAATAAGAATTGTTACCTCGTCGCAGCCCATCTCTTGCAAAGCATTTTCTCCCATCGATAAGAATTCACCCCATCGTTCTGCTATCCTCTTAAAGGTAACATGGTTCCAACAATGTAACGGAACTCCATATAATTTGATCCAAGTTGTTCTTTGAGGCGGTCTATACGATTCTGTCCAAGGTTGTACATCCCAGAAGTCTTTCCCTCCCATAGATTTAGTTCTTATTTCTCATAGGCCTCCAGCTCGTAATCTATCTTCCACTTGTCTCGAAGAACAAACTGACGCCATCGTCCCTACCAAACATTTTTGAAACTTTCGAACATCATTCTCATCTACTTCCCCCTGAACAATCTTTCTTCTCCTCATTGCTTGCTCCTCCGTGCTCGCTCTAGAATTCTTTTCTTATTCTGCCGATGATACAACTTTGGAATCTGAAGGCGTATACAATTTCCTGCTTTGGCTATTATCTCCGTACCTAGCTTCTTTGACTGTTAACTAGTATCCGAGGATCCATAAACCATTCAACCTAAGAGCTGCTCTATCTGCATCGATTATGTTGGAGAACCTGACAAAGCCAAAACGCTTCCCTACTCTATCATACTTCCTTGCTATGAACGATCTCACCACATCTCCGTGCCTACCAAAGAGTTGCGTCAATCCTCTCCAATGATATGTCAATGGAATATTCTAAACAAACAAAGTTGTTGTTTCGCCTTCCTTCCTCTCCATATTACTCAACCTGTAGACTTACGATAACAGACTAATTTACTGTGACTTTTTCACAAACACCTTGCGTGCAGAAGTTGCATTCACAACTTTACTTCCAGAAACAAGCTAATTTAACACAAAACCCAGACAAAGGAGCAAATTAACTACGCTTGACTGTCTTGCATTATCAAAAGCATACGATTCTTAGACGGTTGTTGCGGCGGCCTTGAAGAACTCAACCAAATCGCTTGTTTATTCATCTTTCATAAAACAAATATTGGGAATTCCAAAATTTTGTATTGGATATCCGATCCGAACATATAACTTATTTTACCTAAAATTAACACTATTTCGGAGGAGATATTTGGATAATATTCTAAAATAAAATTATTAACACTTAGGAGTTTTAAAGTAAACAATTAAATAAATTTTAGAAGAAATAGTTAAACATAATATTTAGGCAGTAACAAATGATGCCGCAAATTTATTTTAAAATATTTAAAATTTACAATCAGGGAACAGATCTTTTCAGGAAAATATTTGATTACAACAGCAAGTTTCTTAAATAAACTTCCAAGTGAAAGGGTAAATTAAAAATTTAGTAATTGAACTTTAATATATCTCATATTTCACTCACGTATTTTAAAAACTTTAAATTTAATCATTCAACTTTATACATTAATTTTTGAAATCTTGAAACCTAAATAGCGAAAGCAACAAAGTTATTTAATCTTCCAGTTAACGAGACCTAAGATTTCAATGAAAGGTCAAGGAGAGGGAAACATGACAGAAAAGATAACTTACTGGTACATATCTCTGATCATCATTAAAGCCTTTTCATCTTCACTTAATGTCTTTTTCTTAGGTCTTTGTACATTTGACTTCATTTGAAGATGAGATGATACTTGCTTCACTGGCTTCATTTGATGGCGACCTGTTTCTAGACGCAAACTATGCATCGTTAGGGCATGGCATTGGCAACCACAATGGTTGGATATGTGCAGACCATCAACAATATTACAGTGGGGCTGATATTATCGCATGTGCTATATTTGTGGTCCTATAAACCTGGTGAACTCCATGATGAACCTTCATCAAGGTGCTTTGATGCTTCTATGCCCGGCCATGAACGTCAAGGGTACGTTTGAACTCACTAAAAGGATTATTCCGAAGATTTTTAAGTCGACGAGTTGTGCATAGATATACTCGAAACTATCTAATAAGAGAAAGATTAAAAAATTTAAAATTTTAATACTTATGTTTTTAATAAAATGGATACACAAATTTTTTTAACACATTAATTAAATCTAATAATTTACGTAAAATAATGAATATACACTTAATCCCTAAAAAGACGTATTGTACCCGTTCGTGTACCTACTGATAAGTTATAATAGTTCCATGAGTTTAACCACATGGGTGAATAACATGGTTAAGGAGAAGAAGACCATTGAGGTGTTCGACAATGAGATGAAAGGAACGAACAGTGGTAACGACAAGATAATGAGCCTAAACCATTGGTGGACTCAATTACAAGTTTAGTATCTAAACTATTACTATTGTATCATTTTAGTATTTAAAATTTTATTTGTCTTACAATCGTACCTAACATTTACTCTATTTTTCATTTTAGTACCTCATTGTCAAAAACTTAGCGAAACTGTTACAATATGATTCTTTTTTATAGGTAAATTACAACATCATCAGTTAATTATCTTCTCACTCTTTTTTTATCACTAACTTTTATTTTTTTAATTTAATTATTTAACTTTTAAATTATTCTTAATTTAATCACTCTAACTTTCAAATTTAATTTTTTATGTTAGTTATATATTTATAAAATAATAAAAAAATTCATATCACAAAAATTATTAATAAAATGAATTAGAGTGATTAAACCATGAGTAATTTGAAAGTTGAGTAGTTAAATTGAAAATTTTTAAACTTTAGTGAATAAAATAGGAGTGAGAAGATAATTAAGTAATGAATGATATAATTTACCATAAAATGCCACGTACAGTAGTTTCGTAATTTTTTTAACGGCGAGGTATCAAAACGAAATAAAAAGTAAATGTTAGGCATAATTCTAAAACAAATGAAAGTTTAGATACTAAAACGGAACAAAAATTATAATTTAGGTACTAAACGTGTAGTTTACCCTATTATAAATTAATGGCTTTCTTACTATTTAATTGTATTTAAGATATTTTTTAATTATAATTTTATAACCTATGAATAAAATGTTAAATTAATTTTTTTTCAAAATAATAGAATATGCCGTCATAGTCCCAAAAATTTTTGAGTCGGCTCGGAGACAATCGATCACTTTCTACCCTCTAATAGAACATGCCTTTTGAATTGAATGTGAACCTTCTCGAACGGTTTTACCACTAATGCCCTCACTTTCAAGTGGTCTGACTGTTGTTAATCTGATTTGAATGGTCTAGACAAAATTAGGGTACTACATTCATAATGCAAATGAATTATTTGGTTGTCCGTTCTTTGATAATCAATAAACACAAAACAACTTAACCGCTCGTATTGTGGTTCCACCAACACACCTTGATATAATAAATAAACAAATTGTTTATATAAATATCAAATGACGACATTATGTGTCGTTCATATATTAGAAGCCATCAATAATTCAAGTATGACCATTTTTTCAATTGTTGACCAAGGAATCTTTCATTGCTCGTGGAGATGCCGACCCTAGTTGTTCCAACACAATTTGTGTTGTTCATCAGCACTACCTAATGACAAGTTACAATAGTGCCATGAGTTTAAGGAGAAGAAGACCTGTGAGGTGTTCGACAAGGAGATGAAATGAAACAAGAACATTAACGACAAGATGACGAGCTTACACAATTGGTGGACTCAATTGTTATTTTATCTTTAAGTTCAAGAACTAAATTAAAAATTAATCATTTTAATTAACGTGTCACGTCATTAAGGTTAACAGCTAAGTGACCAAAGTATAACGAACCAACAACATAAATGACTAAAACATAAAGTTTTCAAAATTAATAATCAAGATCAAATAGATCAAAAAATAGAAAGGACCATCCATACTATTTACTCGAAAAGATAACGTAAATTTATTTTGCACCAAAATCGACGAAACAGCTTACACATGTATATAATCTGTAATAATAAACATTAAGACATTAACACCTGAACCTTTTAAGTGGGTTAAATGGTAAAAGAAAAAATAATTATTTTTAAAGTTTTTAGTTCGAGCAATTATTTTTATGCTTATTTAATGTATGTACATTATCAATGATTTAAAAAATTATGAATGAATATTATCTTATAATCACCTTAAAATATTAAAAAAAAAAACATTCAAGGCCCATAAAATGTGCACCAATATACAATCAAAACTGGCTAAGGAGAGGAGTACCATAAACTCTTGTTCAAGGCCTTATTTTCTGTCTTCAATAACAGTAAAATAATATGTTTAACAATATTATAAGCTAGTGACTCTTTTTTATTATTATTTAATAAAACAATAAGAATAATATGATCCATAAAAATTAATTATAATTTTATAATTTATTAATGAAATATTAAATTATTTTTTTAAATAATAGAATAAACTCTCAAGTCCCGAAAAATTTTGAGTCGGGTCAGATACAATCAATCACTTTCTAGCCTCTAATTTATTGTAGGAATAAAACCATGGATGAACGTCACTTGATCATTGGAGGTATACTTTGTTCATTCTTGAAGAAATTATCAGGATCCACCTTAGCTTTAACCATCATCAACCTTTGGAAATTGTCCTTGAAGTACTTGGGCCCATAGATTAGAGCATCCCCGATATTCGTCCGGTCACTTGCGGTGCTTCCTATGTCATTATCTCTGTAATTCAAAAACGCCTCCCTCGGCATCTTCGACACGAACGGCGACATCTGATAATGCATGTATCGAACTCTATCGATGTTATGGTTCGTCACATTAGACCCTTCTTCGGTCCAGTAAACGACATACTGGATCAAGAACAAGTTCCCGGATCTATGAGGAAATGGGGTGTCCGATTCAGGGATTTGACTCATTTTTCCTCCATATGGATTCCAATTCATTGATACGCTTGCACTTGTACTATTTGCCAAGTCAATCAACAACTTCCATACCGTGTCCAAATCCTGTTTGGAAATCACGGTTTTGACGTAATCCGATTTGATCTTGGTATAATACTGTGTCCCATGTGTGGTGTTTAGTAAAGCTACGACCGACGTTCCGGTCGGGAAACCGGCCCAGTAAAGAACTGATTCGATCCAACTCGTTTCTATACAATCTGTTTTGGTAAGGTTCAACTCAGGGAAGGTTTGGTTCATCAGTGGAATGAGTTTATCGGATTCTTCTAGGAAGAAACCGATGAAATTGATTAATATAGAGCCGTTTACGACAGATGATTGTAGTCTTATGAAGAGGTTTTCGTCAAGTTTAGGTGCAACTTGTTGCCACTTGAATGCGACATCGGTTGCGCCTTGTTCTAAAGTGAAAGGCACATTGAACACCGTCACTTTCTCCGGTACTCTAACCAACTTGATCTTCCATGCAACGATGACGGCGAAGCTTTCTCCGCCGCCGCCTCTAATGGCCCAAAATAGATCCTCACCCATGGTGGTTCGGTTGAGGATATTGCCAGTAATGTCAACAACCTCAACGTCGAGGACATTATCGACCGAGAGCCCGTATTTCCTCATCATGTTCCCGTATCCACCGCCGGTGAAATGACCACCGACACCGAGAGTAGTGCAGATTCCCGCAGGGAAGGCATGAACTCCGCTTTCGTAAGCGATTTTGTAGTAAAGTTCACCGAGTGTCACGCCGGCCTGAACATAGGCAACCTCATTATTGACATCAACTTTGATTGATTGAAGATTGAACATGTCCAGAACGAGGAATGTGATATTCGATGTATACGAAAGACCCTCAAAATCATGGCCGCCACTTCGGATCCTGATTTGCAGGCCATTATCCTTCGCACAGACAACGGTAGCTTGGACATGGGAAACATGTTTGGGTGCCACAATGGCAACCGGTTTAGGTGTTTGATAGGTCAAAAACCTTCGGTTTCGGATGCGAGCTTGAAGAACGGATTCGAAAGAGGGATTAGTTCGAGTGTAAACTGATTCGAGCAACGGAGCAGATCTGTTAGAAAGACACCGGAGAAAATTATCAACTAAAGAAGAAGAGTGTGATGTCGCTCGACATGGCAGCCATGATGATAGTAATAATAATGATAAGGCAATGAATGGGAGAATTGAAGAGTTTGGATAATTCATTTTCTGCTTGCCTTGGTACGTTTAATTTCAATATATCAAATAGTAATTTATAGAGGGAGCTATACGTGTTAGAATTAATTATCCAGATCAAAATTATGTGTTTTGGAATAAATTAGGGAAGATTTTTGGATACAAATAATCTTGGAATTACATTCCATATATATACATATATAAGGACAATATTTCCTAAATTAATTATATATACGTGGAATTAGTGTAAGTTATTGAATTTATACCTGTCACGGTAGCAGATGCAAGGGTTACTGAGGGTAGGTGTTCGATTACTGATTGAATCAATTTTTTATTAATTGAATTAATCGAACTTTTATTTTCTTTAACCGTTAGTCGAACCGAACATTTTATGAAAATATTAATTGAACCGAAAAAAGTTTGGTTATTTCGGTCGGTTAATCAAATTAACCAAAAAAATTATAATTTTTTTTAATTAGATTTAAATATAATGGAAGTATTTTTTATTTTGGTTAAAATTTAATTAGGTATTAATAATTTAATAAGTATAGCGTGGTTAAAAAATAATTGGGTTTTAGTTTTAGCTTAAAATATGTATTTAATATAGAGTATTTAATAATTTCAATTAATTCAGTTAATTAATCAATTTTGAACTAAATTAACCGTTAACCGAATATTGAAAACAATATTAACCGTTCTCTGATCGAATTAATTCGGTTTGGCCAGTCAATTCAGTTAAACCCGAATAATGAACACCCCTGTAGGCACGTATCCTCTCTGAAATTCAAATTTTTTTAAATTTAATTAATGGTGTATGTCCTAAAATTTTATTTATACTCACTCCATATGAATTTTTTTTACTAATATATATATATGTCCATTCCCTCAAAAATATTTCTAAATCAGTCTTTATATATTAATATTTCGTATATAAATAAACTTTTTTTAAAATAAAATATTAAAGCACAAAAGTATATTGTATAACCAATAAAATTATTACATTAAATTCAGTCATCCTTGTATTGTTGATCAAAACCTATAATTATGGGCACAAATATATGTACAATATAAAATGTTATCATAAAATATAAGTTTAATATAAAAATAAGTGTTCAAATTATACTTGAAGTTAAATTTAGATATTTATTTTTTTTGTTAAAATTATTTGTATAATGTTTTCTCTGTTACAATTTTAGATGCCTACGCCTTAACGGTCGATAAAACCGACCATTATGTGATACATGTCACTTTTATAAAATTTAAAATATTTTATTTAAAAAAATATAAACAATTATATTTTTAAATAAACCTCAAAATTATCTAAAATCACAAAACAAAACCTAAAATCCTAAAATAGTTGGTTGGGTTTCGGTCGATGGGTATTCAGAAGGTTGCTTATCATCGGGATTTCAGCTAGTTGGCAGTGTTGGATGCAGTCGGCATTGGTGGTGACCTACGATGGCCGTTGGTGGGGATTTGAATTAAAGATTTTAGGTTTTTAGGGTTTGTTTAGTGATTTTAAATAAATGTGGGGTTTATTTTAAATATATATAAATATTTTTTAAAATTTTGAAAATATTTAAAAAATTATAAAAGTAACACGTGTCACACGACAAAAAGGTTTAATGATTGTTAAGACCCATACACTTAAAATTATAACAAAAAAATGTTACACATACTTTTAGCAAAAAAAAAATTTAGATGCCCAAAATTAACTTTACATATAGTTAGAGCAGCTGTTTTTGTATTAAGCCTAAAATATGACATAAAATTAAGTGATCAATTATTTACACGTGTCATAGGTATTAAAGTGCCGTTGAATTAAAGTGTAGATACTATAGAATATATTTATAATTTGATAAAAGTCATAATTATAAATACATAAAAGATCGGTTTTGAAGATAATTTCTAGACCAATGTGGGATCTTTATACATGAAGGACATAATGTAAACATTCCTTAAACAAATTTGGGTAAAGTACACAAATGGTCTCTCGATTATAGGGTGTAACTTTGTTGAGTTCTTTGACTATTAAAAGTTACAAATGATCATCCAACTGTAGGTCACTGCTTTGTTGATTCCCTCGTCTATTAAAAATTACAAAATCGTCACTTGACTATTATTTTCCACTGTCGTTCTTTTTCGTTAAAAATTGTAGTTCCCTAAGTTGTACGTTAACTTGTTAATAGATATATGATAAAATTTGATATCATAATCTCAAACGACTATACAACACAAATGGTTATGGGATCAGATTTTATCATATTCGAGTCACCAAGTTAACATCTAGCTTAGATGGTCTTCAATTTTTTAACGTAAAAGAACAAGTTTGTAACATATGAATAGTCGGATATACATTTTGTAACTTTTAATAGTCAATGGACTCAACAAAACAACACCCTGTAGTTGAAGGACTATTTTATAACTTTTAATAATTAAATGACTCAATAAAGAAACTCTCTATAATTGGAGAACCATTTGTGTACTTTATCCAACAATTTTTACTTCAGTGAAGTTTTAAAAAAATCTTTGTTGAAAAAATGAAAAAGAAAATCTACTCTATCAGAGAAAGGGGAAGAAATCTAAGGATGCATTTGGTTTCCAAAAAGAGAAATTATTTTTATCATCTTGCAAATAAAAAAAATACTAGAATAAAATTCTATTGAGTCATTTAAAAGTTAAATTCTAGAAAATAAAAATAAAAAATATGTAAAAAAAATCAAAACTGATGTGAAACAAGAATGAAAACAATAATAGATATGAGAATGAAGAGACATAAAAGTTTATTATTATATCAATTTGAGTTGTGTACAATACTTTCTTTAATCTCTATATTTATAGTCTTAAGTAGTAGATATAATATGAAACTTTAATACTAATGGATATTAGAGATTTAATGATAATGTACATCAAAATTCTATCTTATAGATAAAGTTAGGCAACCACATAAATATATATTCATAATACTCACCCTTGGATGTCTATAAAAATAATGTGCCTCGTTAAAACCTTACTAAAATAAAAACCTTGTGGAAAAAATCTTAATGAAGGAAAAAATGTATGCATATCTTTAATATGCATAACATGTTACCTCATTAAAAATCTTACCAGGAAAACCCGATGGGACAAAACCTTAGTTAAGGGGAAAATAGTACAACACATATTTACTCCCTCTCATTATCATATTACATATGATCTTTAAGTTTTACAATTCGATCTTGAATACGATCTTCAAATGTTCAAGTAAACAATATATCGATCAATAGATATTTTCAAATTATCACTTGAAAGGATTCATCGAATATTTATATTTCAATTCTTTTGAAGATCATGAAGGATAAAAATGTAGGGAAATATATATTTCTTTTTATGTATCCTCTTTCCAATTGAGCTATACATAATGTATCATATTTGTACAAAATAATGGACATCTTATCATATAGAAGCAAATTACTTATCTTGTAGATATAATGAGTGAATAGTTTTATTCATTTTGAATTTCTTTAAGAATCTTTCATCCCATTCATAGTTCATATCTAAGTACATGATCGTCAACTCAAGAAAAAACAAAACTTGATTTTATGATTTTATCTCATATATTTTCTTTAAACAATCAAGGTGCTTTTAGAACTCTTTAGCAATTCTATTTTAAACCTCTTTAAGAGTTCTAATTCAAAGTATACAATAATTATCATAATATGATCTTAATGTCTTTATAAAGAAACATGTGCAAGTAGACTCTTATTTATTCGGATATATCATATACACTTACACCAATTTATTCCATCTAAATATTTAAGCAAATATATTTGTCTAAATTTCCTATGAATTTTTTAAAATTCTTATAGTATTTTTAATCCTTCAAGGATAAATATCATTATATAGGGATTCACAAATCATTAAATCCATAATTGCCAGAGTAATAAAATAATTATATCCACCACAAAGTGAAAATCTTCATGATTCAAGTCATATTACATATCTTACGTCTACTCATTTATACCCTATTTGCAATACACCTGTAATACCCCAAATTTTGGTTAGTGACCAAAATGTAAGTTTTGAAAGTTTAGTGACCAAATTATAAAATTGGGAAAAGTGTAGGGACCTAAGTGAAAATTTTCCCAAAATATATTTTTATTACATTAATAGATAGTTTACTTTTGAGAGTGGAGTTTTATTGAAATCATATTTTTTATCAAGAATTTATGTTGAAAACTAGAAAGGGTTAAAGTCCGATAAGAAATCGGTAAATCTAATATAATAGAAATTTCAGAAAATTGAAGAATGATAAATTAGACTTAAAAATATTATTTGCACATGTTAAAATGTTGGAAAATAATATGAACCATTGAATTTGAGAACTTATTTCCATGTTTAATTTGGATCGTTGGATAAAAGAATCAAGATTGTAATTTTTGGAAAGTTGCTTGGTAAAATTGGAAAAGTGTAAAATATTTTGTTCATCTTTGACTTTGGAAAGAGGGTAAGGTTACGTGGCTTGGTATTATTGTAAATTTCAAGTTTCATTAATGGTAAAATGGACATTTCTCATGACATGAATATTTTATTCATTTAAGCTTTAAGTAAAGGTTAAATTAACATGAAATTAAAGGAAAATTTCATGAAGTTGGGTATTTTTCAGCCACCATTGTCGTGACCTTCAAACCCTTGGTAAGGAAACTTTGTTTTTCATTTTAAGCAATTTCCTTTGGATTTTGGATCATGCCATGAAATAGAAAATTATTCTATTCGAAAAACGCTATCATTTGGTACCTTTATTGATTGCTAATTTGGTTTGTGTTAAAAGATCCCAAATTATAGGGTTTATGTTTATATTAGGGTTTATAGAATTGATGAAGAATTTTGAGGTTGTAAAATCATACACAAATATGATTGATGATTAAAATCAATTGTACATGGTTATATAAGTTCATGATGAATTCGACCAAACCCTAGATTTAGGGGAAAAACATTTTTTGATGAAATTTGATTAAGTCTTTTATTTTAGAGGTCTTGAAATGTTGAAT